CTGTGCAGGTCTTGAAGAATTTCAAAATGGCAATGAAAATCTACTTCTCAGGTCATGAAAGCGGCCAGGTCAAGTCTCAATCTGGATTTTTGGAAGACAGCTGTTACAAGGTTTGATGGAAACAAGGTTTGACATTGGCTGCCATTTTGCCAGGCCATCCCTAATCTACCCTTCCATTTTGGGAGGACCTTTGAGGCTGTGGAAGCATTGGACAGCCTGCCCCCAGAGCAGTCTGCTATCTCTGTTGGGGGGTGAGTCTATGTGTTCCAAGACTTTTGAACACAAGGATTTCAAATACTTACAACTGGGACAGTTTCTTTCAATTTCCAGGCTTAGGTATACAGTCAAACTATTTCTAATATGGCCAGCTCTATAGGTAGCATGTTTTAGAAGAAGAGACAGCAAGGATTTATTGACTTAAATAAACGTAATACTGCTCCCAACAGCACTGGGGTGGCCAGCTAGTCTGAGAACTGTTAAAAGAGGAAATGCCTAGGAAAGTGAAAATGCTTCGAAACGCGCCAGTAGCCGTCTTATGGGACAAAGGTCATCAGTGTCTACATTGATTTTCCTGAAATATGATGTGCCTTGGTAGAGCTTATGAATTTTAACTGAGTAAGGATATCTTCAAGTCAACAAATATTTTAATTGTGTCATTTATGAGCATGACCACAGATGAGAGCTCCTTCCTTCTTGCCAGCTGTATTCATTTTAAAGAAAATCACTTTAAAAGCTTATAGCGTGTGTGTGTGTGTGTGTGTGTGTGTGTGTGTGTGTGTGTGTGTGTGGTGTGGGGGGGGGAGCAGGGAGATGTCTGAATTGCTGATAAACAGCCCTCTCTCATTGCTCTGAAAGATGGAAGCCAGTTTGGGAATATTGACAAAAAAACCCTGCAAGCTGCTTGAGTATTTTTAAGAGACCAAGAAATAACAAAGGATTCAAGGAGTTTTTTTAGACATAGTTTCAGGAAATTTTATGCAGGAGAATAGTGCATTTTCTTCAAACTACTTTTTTTAAAGTAATATATTTAGGGGCAGAATCTGGCAAGATGTATAAAAACAAATTTTTCTTTCTTTCGTCTCTCTCCTGTGTTTTGCTTTTATATGAGACTGATTCAACACACTCCCAACCCTGACCCTTTACCTTAAAATTGTCTGTTTTCCATCTGTCTTCATTACCTGCACTCAAATTTGAGTTTTCCTTTGCATATTTCAGTGATTGCCTTCTCTGGACCTACCTCTTTTGTATTTAGAGGTTCTTTTCCCTATATGAAGTCATCTGTCTTGCTTTTATTACCTTCTCGTCGCTTCCTCAGTGGGTTTGTTTTATGTGGTTCAGCTGATAAGACCTAGTGTTGATTCTAAAGAAGTCATACCATTATCCTCTAAAAAAGGAGAGGGCACAGTAGGTACTCTGTGGTTGTAATTTTCAGTTTGAAGCAAGTCTAGATGGAATCAGGCCATATATCATGGATTGAGGTTTGAGTGTTTACGTGTTGCTGCTTAAACTTGACGTGCCATGCACTTACTGTACTCAGCCCAGGTCAGCAAAGCTGATGCCACCTTCTCTAAGAAGTAGATTCTCTTTCTTTTTGTCCCAGGTTGGTGAGGGTTAACATGTCAAAAAAGATAGGCTTCCGACATACTGCTCATTAATACATGCAATTTCCCATTCAGTTTTGGATCTGACTTGCTGTTAGATTTGGATGTAGAAATAGAAGCAGTTCATTTATGCAAGTATAAAAATACCCAGTTAAAGGTTAATATTTTTAACAGCTTTATTGAGACTTGAACTTCCACTCCTGTGTGTAAATTAGAAATTCTGAACTCGAGGCAATTTTGCCCATATGGACATCTGGCAATGTCTGGAGACCTTTCTAATTGTCATAACTGGGGAGTGCTCCTGATATCTAGAGGGTACAGGCCAGGGATGCTGCCTGAGCATCCTGTAGTGCGTAACACAGCCCCCGCCACTGGGAATTAATTGGCCCCAAATGTCAATATTTCAGCCACCCTGATAGAAATGAATGCTGGCTGACTTTGTTTCATCCTGTAAATTAACGGCATGTATACACTTTCATGTAGTTGCCCTTTCGGAAATCATATATTGCTTTCTAAATTTTCTATTATTGTGTATTTTGGGCCATACAACTATGAAATGTTGATTTGTAGGAAACATTTTCACATTTGACTGGAAGGTGATAAAAACATTCTTTTTAGGATGTCTATTTACAAGGAAGTAATGGGGGGGGGTCCCTCATTTACTTTTGATGAGTAATTGATTTTTAGAGTTTGAGTCTAAGACACTTGTTTACTTAGCTTATAATCCTTATAGTTGGTGATCGTCTATAGAAAAGAATGTTTTGTTATTATTAAAGTTCATAGGTTCAACCTGATAATTTTTGAGCTGGTTGCATCTGTTAGCTTTCAAATGTTTTATTCCCTTCTTTGTGTAACTCTAAACTTCAGGGGTGAGAGGACAAAAATATCACAAATTAGACCTTCTCTAGGGAAAAGGAAAGAGAAAATTATAATTTGGCTGTTAGTCTCTGACTGCCAGTGTTGAGGTTGGAGGCAAAGCTGCCTTCTAACTGGCCTGGACCATAATGTTGCCATCCACACTTCTTTTTCCTTATAAGTAGGCACTTACTGGAAAAAGGAGGATAATCTTAAATTAAGAGAACTGTCAATTAGAAGTTTCCTGGCTTTATCAGGATATATTTTATAGCAATCACTTCCTGTTCTTTGCACTTCCTTCTTACTGTGTTACTTCTTATTGCCTCCCTTTTTGTTCTGTTACTAGGATAAACAAAAAATCAGCACTTTGCAAAATTTTGAACTTATTTTGGTAGAGATAAACATACAGTCATCCTTTTTTTTTTCTTAGTCCTTCCATTCTCACATGAACTGAGAAGGACCTCTGAAAAATTAACAATAACTCTTTGAACAGAATCATAAGTTCTTAAGTTGTGTGTTGTGAAGCTCTTTGTAGCTAATCATTGCCTGTGTGTGCAGTGTGGCACTGTGGCGGTGTCATCTGACTCTTACAGTGTTGGTGAAGGTGTACAAGTGTTGTTCTTCAACCACTTTGTAGATGAGGAAAATGTGGGCCAAGGGACACAGTGGGCTGTAGGGGTCCTGTTGGTGAGAGAGTGGAGACCTCAGCACAGATGCACTCAGCAGTCAGGGTTGGGATGTACACCCTGGAACTTATAGAGCTTTGAATTTTATGTTATTGAAATCTCCATCAAAACAAAATAGGTGCCGTCATATAGTAACTTACTGACTTTTAATACTGAGTATCAGCTATGTGGGAAGCCTGTGCCAGGCACCGTGGGAATACAGATGCACACCGGACAAAGGCCTGCCCTCCAGGGGCTTATAAACCAATGTGCAGATTGATTTTACAAGCTTGCAGTTGACACTAATCTCAGTTAACATATGTATAAAATACCTGTTTGCTGCCTCTATCTCATGTGCTGTAGGAAATACAAGGGAAGACCCATGGACAGTCCCTAAAGCCAGGTAGAATTCATTCCACATATCCCAGGGGTGGATATTTTCTTCAACCCTTCAGGGTACAGGCAGCCCTGGGGACAGCGGATGCCATCTGAACAGACAGATGTGGACCTCTGTTAACACTGCAGGTGGGGCCAGCACCCTGCTCTCCTCACCAGAGTTGCCGCTGTTCTTTCAGTGCTTGGGTGGGGTCATGCAGTCAGTTTGTTTAGGATGAGCCCTTGAATTTTGGGTCAACTTGTTCATAATTTTCAAAATATGTAATGTCTACTTACATGCTGTGCTTAAGATCTTTAGCTCTTAATAATTATTAAAACTATGCGTTGATACTTTTGATGAACACTGCTGTCATTAGCACATGATACCTCTTTACCACCCCTTTTTAATTGATAATGGCATAAATGCATTTAATGCATAAATGCTGGGAAAGATTTATTCAGTCAAATCACTACTTTGCTTGGATTAGTAATGATTATTGTAAAACAGTCCTGTCCAGACATTTTACAGGTTTATTTTTTTTTTAATCCTCCTGGTAATCTAGTTTGAAGTGTGTTTCCTTTGAAACATGAACTATTTTGCATTCCACTATAGATGTTCTTTTTTTGTGTTTTTTAAACACAGTGTTTCAATTGCGTTGACTTCAGCTTAATGTAGTGCTCAAACTTGGCCACAACTTGGTATGAACCTATATTCCAAAGGTGGGCCAATATCAGTGTTCTGTTTTCTCTCTGTTTAGCATCTGGAAATAACTGAATGCTAGCTTTTAAAACAATTAAAGTCGTAATTAGTGATTTTCCTTCATTTCACACTGAAACAATTTATCTTTCACTTAATTTTTGATGATGTGGATTTGTGTAAAATAGTTTTTGTTATCTACTGTAATTAATTTGTGATACACTGTAATTAATGCTTAGTGTTCCAATGAACTTAATTTGAGAATAATGAGAATTTAATTTGAGATATGAGTTTTGTGATGCAGTTTTAAAGATTAATTGGAATTCATTGATTCCTGGCTCTCAGGGGCCTTGGTAGGTGAGAATTTAATGTGTGTTAAATAAACTTGTGTTAGATCTCATTCAAAAAGCAAGGCAGAGGGCTTCCCCGGTGGCGCAGTGGTTGAGCGCGGGGTTGCGAAGCTGCCCGCAGCCTCTGCAGTGCCGGTTTGATCCCCGGCTGCTCCCCGGCCACCAGAGGAGGGTCCCACATGGCGCGCAGACCTCTCCTGCCGCCCGCTGCTCCCCTCAGCAGTGTACTTCGGTCCTTCTGCCTGTTCTGCATCCTGCTCTGGCTCTGGTGAATTCTCTCACCCTCCCGCGCTTCTGACTGTACCCAGTGCTTGTATGAATAAATAAATAAATAAATAAATCTTAAAAAAAAATTTAAAAAAAAAAAAAAAGCAAGGCAGAGATTTCTTTCATATACAAACTAGTTATTATTTTACAAATTCAAGTACAAATATTGTCTTTTCTTTTTTAAGAACAGCAAAGATTCTACTGCGTTTCAGCCATGAACCAACCTTATTCTGTAATGTTAAGCTAATCAGTAAGTGTGTTTATCTCTTTTGCTGAGCACACACAGTTTTTACCAACTTTTCCAAAGTACAGTTTATAATTGTTGAAAGTGATCTATGTTACGCTTTGTACGTTTTTATGGATAGTATATATAGTACACACATATTTTAAAATAAACTTTAATTTTAGGATAGTTTTAGATTTTTCAGAAAATTCCAAAGGTGGGATAGAGAGTTCTCATATATCTAGTATCCAGTTTCCCTTTTCAGTGGTATCTTGCATTACTGTGGCACATTGATCACAACTAATAAACCAGTATTGGCACTTTATTGTTAACTAAAGTTCATACTTTATTTGGATTTTCATTTCTACTGCATATCCTTTTTCCCATCCAAGGTACCATATTATCAATACATTTAGTTGTCATATCTACTTGGGCTTTTCTTGGCTGTGACAGCTTCTCAGCCTTTCCTTATTTGATGACCTTTACATTTTGAGACTCCCAGGCAGGTAATCTCATGATTAAACAGCATTTCTGGTTTTGGATGAGGAAGACCTCAGAGGCACAGTGCCATTTTCATGGCATCACACCAATAGTACATATTATTAACAGATGATCTTCATAGTTGTTGTTGCCCTGGCTGGTTCTCTACTAAAAAGTTAGCTGGTTTTTCCTTTGTCCTTTGTTACGTTCTACCTCTTTAAGGGTGCTGTATCTATTTTAGTTATTTAGAATCTGCATGGGAAATTTTTCTGTTCTACTTGAAAGGAGGAAGATTTTTCATTGGTCTTAGAAGGCATAGCAGCACCATCCCTGGGACTCTGTTCCAGGTGAGGGATGTGAGGAGCTCCCCAGCACAGTGTTTGTAGAATGTGGTCCTGAGATACTTATTAGGAATGCAGATTCCCGGATCACCTTAGACCTGCTGACTCAGTCTCCTGGGCTTGGAATTTGTCCTGTTAAACCCAGAGGCTTCTGGTACATTTTCAAGGTTGAGAATCACTGCTTTGTATTAGCAGTTGAACCGTCCTAATTCCTCTTGAATGTGTGTGTGTGCCCAGAGCCAGGCCCGCAGCCCTTGCTGTCTACATCTCTTCCCAGCCAGGAGCATTTTGTCCCTTGACTCCCCTGCAAAAGGCCTCTGTCCTGACCCCACCTTCCCCCAGGATTTTAACCCCTCCTGGATATCTATTTTGATTGGCTTACTTTGTATAAACTCAAGGCCATCCTTTGCTTTCTGGATAACCGCATCTTCAGTCGGATAGCCTCAGAGCTCCAGTAGAGGAAGAAAGTGTCATAGTGACAGCTGTGAACCCGTCCTTGTACATCCAGTCTGGGCCAGAGAGGGAGGTCCTCAAATCCAGGTTTGTCTGAAAGTAGTTTGTCGTGTTGTGTGTGTGTGAGACAGCCAGAGAGCATGTGACGGTGGTGAGACTATCCCCTGCATTCTGTCCACGTTCAGGCAGATAAAACCCACCAGCATATTTTCGTGGTTTCCAAATGTGCTTGATAGCCTATGCTTTGAACTGGCCATAGCTGTAGCAAGGAGAAGAACTTGACATTGAACTTCCTGGTTGAAGTGGGAGGGCAGTGACCTGCAGTGGTTTCTCCAGCTGGAGGAAGCTCTGAGTGGTGTGGGGCCTTGTGGGGTGCTCTCAGCCCAGGGAAGGAGCGAGCACCTTGACGGTAGACTCAGTTCACACTGGTTGCCTGCCCAGGTACTGTGACAGAGCATCAAATGTGTGAGTGACAGAAGTAATGGCCCATGGGGAGTTGGCTTAGAAACTGACTTGGGGAGGAACTTGGAAGGACCCCTTTGCCTTCAGTGGCCAAGTGAAGATTGTAGAGACTCTATCTTGGGAGGGAGAGGAATGGTATCTTCCTACATCCTTTCTCTTGGGTGTAGAAAGGGTCAGAATGAAGGCGGGTAGCCTATTTTACTTAACCTACTTTTACCTTCTTCTCTTGCCCATTAATGGTATGATTTGAGCGTGGTGGGGAGGGGCTTAGAAGGACCCTATGAGGACACTGTTTATTGTTCCATTCTCCCCTTCAAAGCTATACTTGGGTTAGAGGGATTCAATTGCACTTACTCACATGCATATAATTTGTATGAGTGCATTTTATTATAAATAATGAATACAAACATCTGCAGTGGCTTTACGAATATTATTGCCTTTTAAATCCATGCCTCTGTTTAAGTATAATCTATGATTTGTATTTTGACCTATAGATTTTTGGTTATTTTTTTGGGAAATCTTATCTTTTTTTCTGAATTTTTGTTTTGACAAATTTAAGGGTGTTTATATGAGTTTTGGTGGCTGTATGTAGAAGAATCATTTGGCATGAAAATGAGGACTCCCACTCTGCTGGAAAACATTTATGGACAGCATTTTCAGAATTGGGTAGTCCTGGACTTTCTTTACAACATGTCTGTTGGGGGCAGTTTCCCTGTGTAAGAGTGGGGTTGAACAAGGTAATCTCTGAAGCTTTCTTCCAGCTCTCAAGTTGCAAGAGGCCTTGCCCAAGAAGCCTCTAGCAAGTCTAGGCAAAACCTCACAACATGGGGGCAGGGTCAGAGCCTGGTCTCCCTCTGCTTTGGGGCTGGCTCCTCACATCAGCTTGGACAAAGGATCCCCTTGCTCTGAAAACTCCCTTTGCATGCACTCCCCCCCCCTCAAAAAAAAAATCTGGGTCCAGGACTTTGTTGAAGATGATGGCCTGTGTCCATGACTTAATGAGAATTCTGAGTGATTCTCCCAAATGGGATTCCTTAACCCAGGGCTCTGGGCTGTGAGTGAATGTACATCAGGGGGCCTGTGAACCTGAGATGGAAAAACTTAATATTTTGATGTCCACTAGCTTTTCACTGAAAATTCCTGTTTCCTTTCATTGTGAGGAGCACAGGTAGCACACCCAGCACAGCAGAGGCAGGTATTTTCTATTACATCAGTGGTTGCAAACACTCTTGGTTACAGATATGTTGAGATCTGAACAGATCTCATCATTGACTTGAATTATAGTGTTATTAGACCTGCTGTAACACTCTCTTATTTTGTGTGTTAATGAAGAAACATTGATTTCAAATTTGTCTTTAAAATATTATTATAGTAACTACTACTGTAATTGCACAAAATGAAAACCACTTAAAAGTGTCCAGAGAGGAGAACGTCAGCCTCACCAGCCTGACATGGGGAGCACTGCCTGCCCAAGGGCAGGGTCTGGCCCCCTCTCTTACTGGAGCTGCTGGGGCCCATGTCTTGGGCCAGAGATGGTCTATACCATGTTGCAGAAGAGTGATTTAATTTTGCTGCCTAACAGAATTCTTTCTAGTCATTCAGTGATATCAAGACACCCTCCCCCAATTTCTCTGAAAGAAATTTCTAAAAAGAATTTTATTTCAATTGCATGAAAATCATTGTTTTGGTTTACTTAATTATTTAAATTACCACAGTGGGAAAATATATATTCAGTGTATTGCCTTAAGATAAAGCCCTAATGTAAATAATGTTCTGGTATTTGTGGTAATTTAATATTATAGTGATTGGCATGTGGATTTGGTACTTAAGGGTTTATAGTAACTTCTAGTATCAGGAAAATGGCTAACTTTTATTTTTTTAAAGATTTATTTATTTACTTATACAAGCACCGGGTACAGTCAGAAGTGTGGGAGGGTGAGAGAATTCACCAGAGCCAGAGCAGGGAACAGAACAGGCAGACCAACAAAATACACTGCTGAGGGGAGCCCCGGGTGGCAGGAGAGGTCTGCGCACCATGTGGGACCCTCGCCAGTGGCCAGGGATCGAACCGGCGCTACAGAGGCTGCAGGCAGCTTCGCAGCCCAGTGCTCAACCGCTGCGCCACAAGGGGAGGCCCATAATGGCTAACTTTTAAACATCTGTTGCATCTAAATTACTTTGACTTTTTGGTTCTCAGGGGTATTATGGCAAGATGGTCCCTGGAGTGTTTCACCCTATGATTAACAGAAATATGCTTTAAAAGCAAAACAAAACAATTTGGAAAAAAGAATTGGTACATGCATTGTCTGTTCTGTGTTCCCCTGAATGTGGGACTTGCTGCAAATTCAAATAAAATGATGGACCATGGAGGAACGTTCTTAAAGCAGTACCATGGCTGCAATGATTGCTGATATTTATTGAGTCTTAACCTGTCATGTGTGTTGTCTGATCACTACAACCATGCAGACTGCCTTTGTCCCCTTTCAGCAGATGAGATGGACAACTTAGAGACACTACGTAATGTGGCCCCGTGCTAGCTGTGGCTGCCTGTCTTTGGCAGTGTAGTCTATTTACACATGTGCGCGTGACCCGTAGAGCCCCCTGCCTTTGCATCTTCACTGTGCAGGCTAATGGGCTAGTAGACACGGCTGTCCCTAACTGCTACAGTGGTGTCCTTGAGCATCTCTCCTCCTCCTGCTGCTCTCCAGGACTGCATCCCACAGGAGCCTGCTGTTACCTCTTGTTTCAAGGTGCAGTCACAAAGCTCCTGCCTCGCCTGTTGCTCCCCTCACCAGTGTATTTCAGTAAATCCATCTCTTCTTACCACTCTCTCTCTGATGACTCCTTTCAACACCTCCTCTTGCTCCGCACCTCTGGCCTACACCCCAGTTCTGCGCAAAAATAAAACAAAGCTCCTCCCAAATCTATGACCCATCCCTTCTGATTGAGAAAGGCAGGTGGGAAGCTGAATGCTCCTATTCACCTGCTCTGACCTTCCCAGGCAGATTTTGCAACACTGCCAGGCATACACTCCGAAAGTGCAAACTGAACACACAACTGTATTGAGCCTTAACTTTCTGAGACTTACTGTTTATGTTTTGTTGTTGTTTTTTTTTTTTTTTTTTTTTTTTGTGGTGATGGATTTTCTTTTAATGATAAAAACAACCTACTAACTCTTCGAATATTTTAAAAGAGAGATGCCTCCTATCGTCTTATCCTAAAAAAGAAACTTTTCTTACTTGTTATTGGTCCTTGTATGTATTTGTAACCATTCATACAATTGTCCATTCTTCTTAATATGAACATTTTCTCCTATTTTATTAGTAATAATGTTTTCTTGTTGTTTCATGATATGCCATAGACTTGCAAACTCCATCAGATACAGATTCTACTGACTTAGTCATTTAAATGTTTGCCCCAGTAGGTAAGGTGCCCATGTACAACATCTTCAGGAGTATTTCTTGGCTTCTATTGAACTGGGTCCTTAGCATCAATTCTGCAGAGAAGACTTATAGAGCTAAAAGGTACTGCATCTTTATGGTTCCTGATATATGTTGCCATCATGCCGTTTTAAAGGGTAGCATCACTTTTCAGTAGTGTTTAAGTATCAGTTTCATACAAACCACGCTGCTTTTGAAAGTCAGAGTATAAAAGCAGATTTGAATTGATGTATTCCACAGCATTATACCTTAAAGTGATTATAAAACAGTGCCACTGCTGTTTGAAAACCAAACTGACTAGAATTTGTATATATTGTGACTATGATGTCCTTAAAACAATCCTTGAATTTCAGGGACTCTGCTGTACTCACTGGTGCCTGTCACACTCGCTCCCAAGGCTGAAGCCTGCTGACAATTTGTGGTATTTGCTTTGGAATTGGTCACCTTTTCCTTGAAGGGACTCTGCGATAGCATGTGGAGATTTTTCAGCCATAGCATGTCTTTTCCCTTTGAAGGAGGTGAATTTAGTTTTTGTTAATAACAGATTGCTCAGCAAGAGCACAGAGTGGGTGACAGAATAGGGCCAGAGCATCCTGATTTCGGTCACTGGCCAGTGAAACAGAGGTTATGGGACTACTGTCCTATAGATTAGAACCCCGATCTCTAAAGATAGTTTCATAAAGAGTGGCAAATGTTTTTATTACACTTGCCATTCCTGAAACAGGCCAATAGCCACCCAAAGGAACTGCTCAGACCTGGGTGTGTGCGAGTCTCTATGGAGTACGTGCATTAACTCTCTATTGTTGAGTAACAAATTTAGGGCCAGGGAAGCAGTGTCCAGACTCTAGACCCACAGAAACTGGCACAGTGACATGTGCTGTTTTAAGTGGCTAGATTTGTGGTTATTGGATACTGAGCGGTAGGTGACTAATACCATGTGCAGGTTCAACCCATTCTTATTACTCCTCTCTCAGACTTTGCTGCCAAGCAGGACTCCCTGAAATTGCAACACTACTTCTTTATTTGGTTTTTATGATATTTTTCCTAGTTGGCTGAACACATAGTAGAAATCACTTTATAGCATACCCTGTAAAGAGATTTTTAAGAAAATGAAAGAATGAGGGTAGAGAGTAAGTGGAGAAGGGTGAGCCGGCCAGCACAGAGTGTAGCATGAGCCACAGAGAG